ACATGATTCGATAGGGCTCAACGAGCTCTGCAAAACTATATATTTGAAAAATACTTTGAGTCATCTTTTTTAGATAAAAAATTCAAAAAACTACTCGTAAAATCCCAAAGAGTGTCAAAAATTCATCGTTTTTTCATATAAAAAGAGAATCCAATTTTTTCAATAACATTAGTTTTTTTCATTGGTCATGTTAGCTCAGACGTCTTAAAATATATTCATTCGATGCCGCGTGAAAAATTGCATCGAATGAGCACATTTCGAAACGTATAAGACAGCAAAAATAATGAATAAAACTTAATTTTATTGAAAAATCAAGTGTTTTTCTTCCATATGAAAAAAGTAAAGTTTTCAAATATTTTTTGTGATTTTCCAAGCAGTTTTTGAATTTTTTATCTGAAAAAGGATGGCTCAAAATATTTTTCAAATATTTAGTTTTGTAGAGCTCGTCGAACCCTATCGAATCATGTAAAAATATCTAAGAAAAATGTTTTATTTCATTTTTGAATTACTGTCACCTTACTTTTGTACACCAAAATAGATATCACATTTGTGAAAATCTCACAAATTCGACATTAAAAGATCTTCATAACCTTTACCATTTAGCACCAATAAACGCAGTTTTTTATGGGCTTCAATTTGATATAAAATACTTAGTGAAATCATTTGAAATTAAGATCGAACAAGAAGAGCGTAAAGGTTTTGAACCACCCTGTACTCCAAGTAGGACCTACCCCTCACACTTGTATCCTCTATATCTCTAAAATGGCTGATTCGTTAGAGCGGAAATTTTTAGTTTCTTCCTAAGACTCTTAGGCCTACCTACTATAAAAATATCAGCCAAATTGATGACATATATTGAGCAACGTTGGTTGTAGCTTACATGCAATGACTCCTAAGTGAGTGTGGGTGTGGGCGTGTGTTAGACATGAAACTAGTCTACCTTTTTTCAGATCGGTACCGGTACAGCTCTGGAGAAAGGTCGACCGGACCGAACCGGCCCGTATACCGGGGTGACCGGTCTAAATCGGTCTACCGGCCTAAGCAGATCTATCGATTCAAACTGATCTACCGGTCTAAACCAGTCTACCGGTCAAACCGGTCTATCGGCTCAAACAGATCTACAGATCTAAACCGCTCTGACCGGTCCAAGCCGGTCTACTGATAGTGAACAGGATACAGATGACACAGCAGTTTATCAGGAAAACCCGACCGATCGATAAAACATCGATCTACAGGCAACAGGCTGAACCTTAAAACGAAATCTTCTTGTGCAGTGAACTTTCTGGTGGGGTACCTTCGTACCTTGAATACAATCATAGAGCAGGAAAGTGAAAAATATAGACCAGTATAGACCAGTTTGAACCAGTCAAACCAGTATGGACTGGTCTGAACCGGTTGACCGGTTTAGACCGTAGATCAGTTTGGATCGGTAGACCGGTAAGATCGGTTTAGATCGGTAAGACCGGTAGCCGGTAGACCGGTCGATCCAAAAAGTAGATCGGTACTGGATCAGATAGGACCGGCCCGTAACCTGTGTCGGTTCCATCTCTGGCCTGCGTGGGTGTGGATGTGAGTATTGGTGTGTAAGGCCGAAGAGAAATCCCACACCCTCATACACCCACACCCACAACCCACACCCACACCAACACCCATCGACACCCACATCCACACCCACACCCACTCCAACCCACACCCACACCTCAGCCACACCCCACCCACATCCACACCTACAAACGCATACCCACATCCACACGAACACCAACCCAGACCCACACTCCACCCACACCCACCACCCCACCCATACCCATACCCACACACCTACACCCACACACCTACACCCACACACCTACACCCACACCCACACCCACACCCTGATTCCACTCTCTTCCGAGTAGTAATCAAATCGAATTAAAGGAAACAGAGAGAGCTTTTTTTTTCTATATTCTATACCATGAGACAAATGAAGTATAGACTGAAAATAAGTTTCATTAGAATAATTCACACATTAGAAATAATAAAAACACAAACCCTAACCTTCTCAAAAATAAATACAAGATAAAGTGGTTAAAATTTTCCTTAATTCCACTGAAGAAACAGATAAGCTGTTTTCTTCTTCATGATTCGAAATGTAATTTACAAAAAGAACAAGGTCACGCTCTTCACATATCTTAAAAGAGAAATACGATTTTTGCACATTGTTAACCCTTATAACTCAACTACAGTATAAGTTAGAGAGAGAGAGTTGAAATTTTGCATGACAATAAGACATTTAAATATGTATTACAGCATTAAAAAACATGTCATAATCGAGAAAGAGAGAGAAAGAGTTTCAGTGAAACATGGAAATCTTAGAATTTCATGTTAAGCAATTTCCTCTTTGAAAGCTTAACATTTCAGACATTAGAAATAATCGTCGACACAACAGAATTCTTAAAAAGTCCTTTTCTTAAAGACTAAGTAACGGAAAGTACTTTCTCGTGCATGAGAGACGAAGATCTCTTCAACAATGACGATTCATTTTCTTTGTTCATTGTAGTTATTTCCAATATTCCAATCGATGCTCGATGGTCACAGAATGGAAAGACCGTTGCTGGAGGGAATGGATACGGAGATGCCACAAATCAACTCTACTACCCTCACGGTCTCTTCGTTGATGATGATCAAACAATGATCATTGCTGACTTCTGGAATAATCGTATCGTCCAATGGAAGATGGGTGATACGAATGGACAAGTTGTAGCTGGTGGCAAAGGCGAAGGACATCGATTGGATCAATTGAATCATCCAACGGATGTGCTAATTGACAAAGAAACTGCTAGTCTCATTATCTGCGATTGGTGGAATCGACGAGTTGTACGATGGTCTCTTCGTAGTGGCACAACTCAAGGAAAAATCATCATTGACAACATCAAATGTTGGGGATTGTTCATGGATGATCAGAGATATCTCTATGTCTCTGACATTGAAAAACATGAAGTAAGACGATATCAAATAGGAGACAAGAATGGAACACTCGTGGCTGGTGGAAATAGCAAAGGTGCTAATCTCAATCAACTCAACTGTCCGACCTACATCTTTGTTGATCAACAGCAGGCTGTCTATGTGTCAGACTACTACAATCATCGTGTGATGAAATGGAATAAAGATGCAAAAAAAGGCAGTGTCGTCGCTGGAGGTCAAGGCAAAGGGAATGCTCTGACACAATTGCGTTGTCCTAACGGACTCTTCGTCGATACATTGGGTACGCTCTATGTGGCAGATACGGTAAATGATCGAGTGATGCGTTGGGCTAAAGGAGCAAAACAGGGTACTGTCATCGTGGGTAGAAATGGTAAAGGAGCAGGAGCAAATCAGTTCAATTATCTCCGTGGTTTGTCTTTCGATCGACAAGGCAATCTCTATGCCGTCGATCGTAATAATCATTGTGTTCAATTTTTTTCAATTCAATAAATTGCATTCGAATCGAGAAAAAAATTTCTTTTAAATTTCTATTCACGCGCGCGACCACACTCTAAAAAAAATAGGTATTCTCGAAAACCCTTAGAGGGTTTCCGAATTTGTTACTATAGGAAACCCTTTAAGGGTTTCCGAGATCTTGGAAACCCATAATGTCCGTCATATCGAAACCTCAAATACTCATTTGGAAACTCAAAAAAAAAGGTTTCCGAATGGAATAAAGCTGGGTGTGGGTGTGGGTGTGGGTGTGGATGTGGGTGTGGGTGTGGGT